CTAGGCCCGAAACGTCAGCCTTCCTGCTCCTATGATGCTGCTTGGCCTGCTGTGTTCATCCAGCTCTACACCTTGTTATCTCAGATTCTTCAGCATCTGCAGTTCCTACTATCTCTCGACCTGAAACGTCAGCTTTCCTGCTCCTCTGATGCTGCTTGGCCTGCTGTGTTCATCCAGCTCTACACCTTGTTATCTCGGAAGTAATCTATGATGTGGAGGTGCCGGTGTTGGACTGGGGTGGACAAGGTCAGAAATCACACGACACCAGGTTATAGTCCAACAGGTTTATTTGAAAACACAAGGTTTTGGAGTCTCACTCCTTCTTCAGGTGTTATTGAGAGAAGTAGTATCAGACACAGAATTTAAAAGTAACCAATCAAATGTTCACACCATTGATGAGGATGTACTAAACAAACCTAGATGTTGTTAAGTCTTTAATCAGTTAAAAGGTTTTAATTGATTAATATGTAAATGAAAATTGCTGGCTACACTAGCACTGACCTTCACTGTTTGCCATTGAGAAGGTTATGGTGAGCTGTCTTCTTGAACTGCTGCAACCCATCACGTCTACATACAGCTACAATGCTGTCAGGGAGGGAATTCCAGCATTCTGATCCTGTAACAGTGAATGAGCGGCTATGTAGTTCCAAGTCAGGGTGTGTGTGGCTTGGAGGGGAGCTTGCATGTCGTGGTAATCCCAAGTATATGCATCCCTTGTCCCTCCAGGTGATAGTGGTCGCAGGTTTGGAAGGTACTGCTGTAGGAACCTTTTTGAGTTGTTGCAGTACATCTTGTAGATCGCGCACACTACTATCACTGTGTGTCAGTTGTGGAAAGAGTGAAGGTGAAGACGCCAGGTGTGACGTCAATCAAGCTATTCTGGAAGTGTCAAGCTTCTTTAGTTTGTTGAAGCTGGTCTGGACTCATCCAGGCAAGTGGTGTGCATTCCAACACACTCCTGAATTATTACAATACAAATTCAAATTCTCCAGCAATTTGAATTTAGAGGCAAACTTTACAAA